GAGAGAGAGAGAAGGAGAGAGAGAGAAGGAGAGAGAGAGAGAGAAGGAGGCAGAGAGAGAAGGAAAAAAGAGAGAGAGAAGGAAAGAAGAGAGAGAGAGAAGGAGAGAGCGAGAAGGAGAGAGAGAGAGAGATCCCTTTACATTCCCAAACGTAAACCCCAAACCCATGATGCTGGACAAGTAGGAATATGCGAGGCCTAAGGCCACAACACCACAGAGTTTTCTTTCGCGAACAAGAGGAGCCGAAGCCCTGCAACTCACGACCACTCGCTCGTGTCTGTGAGCATGCTTTACATGTTGTCTACAGGAGGGTATATAGGGTTTAGGGGTAGTCAGGTGTTTATTGTTGACGGTGCAGTAGTTTGCGCTCGATGTTGTAATCGTTTCGTTTGTGGCTTTCTTAGCATTCGTGCTAGCATCCCTCCGCAACTCCTGCACAAACGAAGCCAGGGCCCACCAGGATAATGCAATATACCCCCGCCTAGCGCTCGCAAATTCAAGCAGCGCCTGTAACGCCATTGGTCTTCTAACCTGTGGCCCAGATGCCAGGCATCGCCTAAGTTGCGCTTCATCATCATTGCCGGTCCCCTGGGCGAGTGTCGCCCTCGCATGTGTGTTCCTGGATCATGTGCTGAATGCTATGGTGTTATGTTTGTGTGTTTCTTGGGAAGGCTCGCCTGGGTTGCTTTCAGAATTGTGCCTCCTGTCCGGAAGCCTCTTCATGATGGCATAGCTGCCGGCCCTCTTCGGTCTTGGTGCCTGCACCCCACCACGAATCCGACAAACCCCAGCAGTTCATGTGCTCATGGAAAAACCTTTGGCCGAAAGTAAGCCTTTTTCTGGTACTGTAGGGCCAGTATACCCCACAGGGTCCAAAGTACCCATACAGTTATAATATCAGAGTACATAGGACCTTTTCGGCATTCAAAATGGGCAGATGGAGCCTCAGTGTCCCGAACCCCGAAGCCCTAACCGCGATAAATCTAAACCCTTAAATGCCCGAAAACCTACATCCCCAAACCCTAAACCCCCAAATCACCAATCCGCCCTGTGCCAACAACCCTAAACCCCCAAATCGCGAATCCGAAAAAACGGTTGCGAGTTCAGGCCGTGCTCCGCCGCCGCGCAGGCGCTCATGGCCTTCCTCCAGAGGAACTATCCCCAGGCAGGCCGGGATAGTTAGGGTTTATAAGTCTAGGGTTTAGGGTTTGGGGTTGGTTGGGTTTGATGTAGGAACCTGATGGAGAAACCTTGCATCTTTATGAGGGTTTCCTGAATATTGTTGGGGGGTTACAGGACCAGGGTGTCTTAATCGGGTTCCTACATTAGGGTTTCTAGGGGTTTAGGGCAGAGAGGGTTTCGGAGTTTAAGGCTATGGGCTTAAGTCTAGGGTTTGGGTTTTGGTGGGTTTATTAGGGTTTCGGGATTTCGACTCCTGTGCGAGTGACTGAGTGGCCACCATAATGCAAGTGTTGGAGAGCTCGATCGTTGCTTAGGCTGCAGAGTTCGGGGTCTAGGTGTCAGGGTTTAGGCAGACAGAGCGGCGGATTTCCGATACACGTGTTCTTTCAAGACTTTGCAGTTGTAGGAGGGAGTTTTCGCTTGTTGTGACATAGCTTGACACGCTAGCGCCTTCGATGCTTGGAGTTTCTTGTAGAAGCCTATCGTTCATGTCACCACCGAAAAGAGCCCATAATTAAGAGGAGGAGCCCTTCTTTGCAGTGCCCAAGCTGACAGAAGTTTTGGGGCTTTGGCGAACACTGCTTGCTTGCAGCCAACGTGCCACGCCTTGTAAAGCTTGAGGTTCCAAGCAGCCTGAACTAGCTGTTTGTATGAAGTCTTATGAACCCTCGCCCCGAACCGAACCACGAACCCTCAGACCACAAAATGCAAAATCATGCAAATCAACTTTTCGCCCCTTCAATGATTCAACAAATGAAGAAGAAGCGAACCTGAAAATTGCAAAAGCACCCTGAACAAGCCTTCAACTTCCTTCAACTAAACTCCGAAACTCTGCCTTCGCGGTTTGAGGCCACTGTGCTGCCAAAGTTCAACTCGCTTGCTCCGGAAGGCATGCGCTCTGAGGCAAGACCTGGGGTAGGGGCCGAGAGAATAGCCCTGCGGGCTCTTTCTTAGAATCCTACTATAATGTAACCGAATGTCTTGCCCTACTATCCTTTTTATACTTAAGGCCCCAATAGTATTCTACACCCTACCTATGGTATTCTAATCTGCACGAATGTTGGTTCCTTCCGTACTCTAGGTCAGGCAGTTCGGGGTTTCGATACTCGGTAGCCTTTGAGGCGTATCCCTCTAACCAGTGATCTCCATGAACCCTCAGAGGCCGCATCCTAAGCCCTCAACATCTTGAAATCCTAAACCGGAAGGACCTCCCAAACGAAGAAGCAGAAGACGAGTTCGACTTCGCCCTGCAGGCGATTCGCCAAACTTTCCGGCCACAGCTTCTAAACCGATTTCGGCTTGAGGGCAGTTGGCTTTCGGGTCGACGATTTTCTGGCCTATGGTGTCGGCTTATTGCAGCTTGTAAACCTTATCAGCCTTCGAACTTGGCAGTTGTTGTGGGTATCCCCGACTTTCTGCAATGATGAAGATGATGACGACCTGCGGACAGTATGGTAGTGTGGAGGGTGGGTATGCAGAGCACTGGGTAGCAAGCCCTGCAGCCATACGATCATGGCAGGTCTTTGCGCCCGTGCTTTTCCGCTCGTCCGGGCGTCCAGATGTAGGCCTTTCAGAGGCTTAGAGTTTTGGGTTTCGGATTTGGGGCTTACATTGCAATGGTTTGAATCAGCGAATCAGGGCGGAAGGCTGCCATGGCTTTCTAAAAGGTCGAGATTCGACTTCTCGTGCGTCTGCATTCGGGACGTTGTTGGCAATCCGGGTCCTGTTGACTAAGGTGGACACTGCATGCCCAGTGACAGAGCTTTCACGCTAACACGCAAACTTCAATCGTTCTCACTTGTAGCTTCAGTTTGGGTTTAGTGGTTTACGGCTTTGCGACTTGCTTACTTGATTCAGTGTGAGCCGCAACAGCAGCAAGATACATTGAGGATGACTAACAAGACGACACAGCAAGAGTTCCAATCAGATCCCACGCGCAATTTTCTTCCGATTCCCGAAGCTCTAAACACCCACCCAGCTCCTGGATCAACGCTTAATTAAAGCCGCCGCAAAACTCCCCGACGCCAAAGGAACAACATCTCAGACCACATTCCGCGATTCTCAATCCGTAAACCTTGAACCCCTGAACCCTGAACCCTGGAACCCCATACAAACCCCATGCCCAAATCCAATCGAGCTTGACGGTCAAGGCCGAGTACATTTTCGCTCTGGCCTGCCCTGGCACGGAAAGAGGCATCCAATGCTGGAAGGGTTTGGTGTTTGGGGGCTTCGGTGGTTTGGGGTTTCAGCATTTTCGGGTTGAGGGTTGGGGATTTGATGATTCAGTTGTTTCAGGGATTTGGGATTTTGCGACTTGCGGGCTTTTCCGGGGCTGAGTCTGTTCAGGTACGGAGCGGGGCCTCTGTGCTTCAGAGATTCCTGTCACACTCCGACCCCTTGCAGACATGAGTGTTCCAGAAAGCCAGGAACGCTTAAGGCTTAGGCCGGTGGTGAGACGACAGGAGCGGAGGCGGAAGGCAAAGCACAACGTGGAATCTTGCATCCACTCCGACAGCTGCATACTTATATACTTCTAGTCGTCTACATCAAGTGTATCGGCACAACAATGTTCCAGCTTTCTGGCTTCTATTTCAGATGTTTGCCAAAATGACCTCGTGGCAAACACCCTTCTCACTGCTTACCACAACGAGGGACACGACGCCTTGCACACAGCTACAGAAAGTAGCAAATCGAGGGTTGGCCCGGATCTTTTATGTTAAAAAACCCGCGAGGACCAGCCCGTCGTGTCGGCAGAGAACCCGGTCCCAGGCAGGAAAGTCCCGAAGACGAAAAGCGTTCACATCTCCAACCTGAACGCAGTGAACCCCAGCAGCCATGCTGTAGACCCTAAGTCATAAGCCAGAAACCCTCACCCGGCATACATCGTAAACTTTGAGACCCAAAACGCAAGAACCCTCGATCCTCGTGTTTGGTTTGCAGGGTTTGCCATGTTGGCGTTTTCGGGGGCTTGAATCTGCAAACCTTTTCCTTTGAGGATAGAATGTTGCTTCGAGGTCGATTTGTGTGTGTGTGTGTGTTTGTTAGTCGTTCGAGGGGATGGGATAGAGCGTTCGGGCCTTCGACTTTCGGTTACGTGCATGCAGGTGTAGGGGTGATTCAGCTAGGCTAGGTAGCTTAGCGAGCTTCTACCCCAGATTCCCATCATTATCCTGCCATATCAAACTGGAAGAATGGTTGAAAACACTGATCCTCTGAATAAATTCTAAACCCTGAACCATAAATCATACTGTCATATTGATCCCCTTATTAAACCGTAAACCTTAACCCCCAAATCAGCAGTTAAGTGCTGTGTTGAGCATCAGGGTCCAATCCTGCGTCCCTGAGATCAACTTCGGCGAAGCCTTCAAGCAACCATGGCGTTGGCCAAGGTTTAGGGTTTGGGGTTTAAGGCTCAGGGTTTAGGGTTTAGGAGGCTCAGGTTTCAGGGCCGAACGAAGTGCGTAGGGATTCTGGTTTCGGCTTTTGGGTTTCAGTCTCTCGAGCTTTGGGGTCTTAAGCTTGGCAAAGCGGCTTTGGGCCGAAAGCCCGGAAGTCAATAGAAACCTGTGATAGGCTACGAAAGCTCAGGAAGGCAGCCAGGGCTGCTGGAACCTGTGTCCCAAGTCCCTGGAAATCGAGACTCCAGGGATCTCAACATGAAGGCTTTCAAGCCCAAGACTTAGATCCTGCAGTTTAACCGAACCACTGGCCCGATATCCTGTGTGTTTGAAGGTGTCTGGCTCTGGCGCCAAGCAAACTTTGGACCTCACTGGCATTGGACACAGGCCCCCAAACATGACACTGGGATGTTTTTCGGGTTTGGGATTGAATTTAGCGTTGAAGGGGCAGTTTTCTGTCGGAATGTACAGGTCGCTGTGTTAGTTTCATTAGCCGTATTGTGTGCAATTTGCATCGTGTTATGATGGGTTCACAGGGTTTCATAGCCTGGATTTGTACCTGAGTAGTCGTATAAGCTATTCCCACCCTTGATTTCCTGTTGTACTTTTGAAACTGCCACTCTAGGTTCTGTTGGATATTTTCACAAGCTACGTGCTAAGGGCCCTGAGATGCCCTCAAGGCCCCGAGAAGCCCTAGAGAGAGTAGATCCCTAAACCGAAGATAATCTCCACTTCAGAACTCTCTGGGGCGGTTTAGGGATGCCTTCACCTTGAGAGGTGTGCCGCCTAGATTCCGACTTCTCACCCTGGAGTGCATCTAAGAGTCTTTAGATTTGGGTCTAGGGGCTTCAAGTTAGGCGTCTCGGATAGATAGAGCTTCTGAACCGCCGGTCGTCACATTGACCCTGAAAGGCTCAAAGCCCTCGTGGTCCCAAGCACTAGCAACCCTAAATTCCTTAAATCCCCTCCAAACCCTAAACTCTAAACCCAGAGCCGGGAGCCCTAACACTGAAAGCCTTAGCATCCTTAGATCGGGGCGGCATAGCTTCCCTAAACCTCCTCTCGACCCCCGGAGGAGTCCCGTTTAAGGTTTATAGGGTTCAGGGTCTAGGGGTTATGCAAAACCTTGCGGAAATCCCCAAGTTCCGATGGAGGCTCCTCTGCTCTCGGAGCAAGTCGTTCAACGGAACGCCTTCGTTTTCCAGGACTGCCCTGGCCCAAAGAAGGTGGTTCGGCACTGGGCCCTTCTGTTGAGACTAAGGAGGGCTAGAGCCTTGCAGGGTTGCGTGTGCCGAAAGGAAACGCTGTAAGGCCCTGCTGTTACGGATTTGGGGATTATTAGGGTTCCCCGGTCTTCAAAGCTTTCAGGGTTAGGCAGGTTTTCGGAGTTTGGGGTTTACGCTTTTAGGGTTTATTAGGGTCCGGGTTTATAGGGTTTAGGGCTTATAGGGCTTAGGGTTTGGGGTTGGAAGGTTTAGGGTTTGGGTTCTTCGGCTCCAGGACACTGCTTGCGTTTGTGTGAGAGGGATGGCTAAGCTGGCATTTTCCCGAAGGCCGGTGCCGCAGCATGAAGCAAAATGCCTAAGACAGCAGATTATTTATAGGGAATGCGAAGTACATGGTTTTGCTATGTTTAGTATGGGACCGTGACTATAGCGTGTAGCTTGGAGAGAGCAGTGGAGTTCGAACTTGCACACTTACTTCGGACATCTAGCTCGGAGCCTGTTCAGCGACCGAGTTGTCAGGGATGAGTAAGGATGAGGCTGGCTGGTTAGTTGGATGATGCACTTGCACGGCTTCGGGTTTTACATGTGGGAAGGTTGAAGAACAGTGCCTGTGAAGGGGGTCAACCCGCCGAGCTTGCACCCTCGACTCGATGCTTCAGCCAGGAGTATGCTGCATGGGTGAGGTGGCTAGAGTCGCATTGAGTTGGCATCAAGCCGGGCAAAAGCAACTCCTCCTGGGCTTCTGGTAGGTAGAAATCACAGAAACAAGGCCTAGCCTCAGGATGTCGGCATGCGTGAAACGATCAGTTGCAGGTCTAGTCTAACCATGTGCACGCCGCTGCCGCAGCTCTGCTTTCATGTGTTGTTTTGCGCTGCGAAGGGTTTGGGATACTGTGCACGTGGACTCCACCTGTGCCTAATTGCGCGTTCCCCTGTGATTCATTCGCAAATTTGTAGGTTTAGGGTTTCCAGCTTGATACTTGTCCGGTTCGCTGGCTTCGTGCGCTGGAGGTGCTAGCTGAAAGCATTCTAGAGCATCCTCAAACCTCCACTGGGCGCCATGGCAGCAACTGCTTGGCTGCCAATTGCTCGCGGCGATGCTCTCCCCGAGAATGCCCTGGCTGTCGGGACGTATGGTGTCGATGGCATGGTCTACGTGCCCTTGTCTGAATCTTCACTGTGCGGGTTCAGACCATCATGATTTCAGGCTGCTCATGAATCTCCAGGCCAAAGCATTTTAAGCCCTAGCTTTCAGAAGCGAAGCCTGGGGTGTGAATGATGCGGGATTTCTCGGTGTCGGGATTCGTCGTGGGATTCTTACACAGCTCCAGAGGCTCCTGCTCCTGTCGAAGGCACGTCTTATGCCCGGGGTTGCCAATGTGTACCCTGTGTTTTTTCTTGCGGTTCGGTTGCAAGCTCAAGAGCAGGAACAATAACAATAACCATGGTTATGTTATAATTATTAGTTCTATTACTATCGCTAGGATTATGAGTTGTTACGACTTTTTGTATACTGTGAGCTGCGGGACCACAGAGCTTCAATCCCTCGACCCGAAGATCCTGGGGCTCCGAATCCGCAGCGAACCCTCAGATTCAAAGCGCTGAGCAGCTACCCTCAAACCATCAACCCCCAAACCCCAAAACTTTAAGGTTTTTGGGTTTGTAGGGTTTTTTAAAGTTAAAGTTCTTGAACCCCTGAACACTCAATTTGCAAGTCACGAAAACCCTGAAACCCTGAGCCCCGAATCTCCTTCCTCAAATCCCTAAACCCCATATTCTTAAACTCGTGGAAACTAGTGAGCCGCCTCCATCTCAAGGTTTTGTTAAGCTTTTTAAAATTTTCGGTTTGGACTGGAGCCAGCACAAGATTTCGGACTTCATGCTGGGGGGCTTGCTGGTGCAATGCATTTTTGGATCTCGCCATCTCAGAGCATTGGTGCTGGGACGCACTCGGAGCCCCCTCACCCCCCAACCCCCCGCCGACATCCCGAACTCGACGGATTGGACAGAAGGATTCGGGCAGCCAGGCCCATCGGCTCATACGAAAACTGCCTCCCGAACTCGCGAAGGTGTGCACAGAGCTCCTGACAGCATCAAAAGGCAGCGATCAAATCCCTCCGAAGCACCATCCCTTAAGCCCGAAACCCTGAGCCCCAACAGTTACCACGACTCTAAAGCAGCAAGCACAAGGTGGGCCGCCTGAACGGCGAGGTGGGCAAAATCAACCTCAAGGCCATGTCAGAAACAGACTTAGACGCTTCCTAGCCTGGCTTCCAGGGCGACGCTGAGATCCTGGCAAGCTCTAGTTAGCATACATATGATTGTGCGATATTGGTTTCCATACCTTCAGATAAATGCATGTATCATACGCATATATATATATATACACATACACAAACACACACACACACACACACGCACACATATATATATATATATGTATGTGTCTACATATATTTATATATACATATATGTGGGTGTGTCTCAACTAGAGGTCGCAGGGTCCTCGTGAGATTCCCTGACGATGCTGGTCGTAGCACAGGGCCGGAGACAGATGTTCACTCAGGTCGTCGGTGGGATCCCTGATTGTGGTTCCTGCCACCGGAAGAGTTTAATATAGGGGCTGTACCGGTTAGAATAGGATTTTGAGGTACATTTTGCTATAGTTATAAGAAGGAACCCCAAACTAATATTGGCAACTATTTAGCCCCCACATTATCCTCAATTCTGTTGAGACGATGACGATGAGGATGATGATGATGTTGATGATGATTGTGTCGACGATGTTCAGGACAACGATGACGATGCGGATGCAACGACAATGTTATCGACTGCACCACGAGTAATTGTGCATGTCACTTAGACGTAGGGATTAAAGGCACTGCTTGTGTAGTCCTTCTCGGGCCCATTTTTCTGTAGTCAACGCCGCTGATCAGTTCACCGTAGTCCAGCACATAGGTTCTGGGGTTCCGGATTTTTGCCCCCAACCCTGCGAAAGGATGGGAAGATGTGGAATTTCCGTGCCCACCACCAATCTCATTCCTACAACGCGGAGATCCTGACTTGCTCGGAAGTCTACAAATGGGTCGCACTGACTTTTGGCAATGTAAGGATCTGGATCTAGGACCTTCTGGCGACCTTTGCAGCTGATTGTGCAGGAGCCGGTAGAATTAAGCTTCTCTGCCTTCTTGCCACACCCAGGTTGTAGACCTAGCTTCGGGAGTGTGTTGGATTCAAGCGCTGACGAGGAACGTGAATTTCGTGCACATAGAACTTGTACTCTTCCATGCATGTCACTGGCTACTTCTCTCTGTTTCTCAGTCCCTCCCTCCCTCCCTCCACATTGGGTTGTATCATCTAGGTGGGATACAGTATGTACAGTGATTTAAATGGCCTGTAAAAAGCATGCGAAAACAACAAAAACATGTCTGTATGTATATACCTATGTACGTAGCACGCATGTATGGAACCTAAACAGAAGCAATTAGTAACTGTAACTTATTGGGAATCTGCGGTGCGATTGAAAACCGAAGAACAAACATCAATCAAAGATCACTGCCAACTCAAGGATATAGTTAAACAAAGAGTATATGCGACTGCCCGCAGAAAAACACACCATGTACAACCAGGTTTCCGTATCCCGTGAACTCGCAACATGTGGTTGTCCGTGTTCTTTGTTTGTCTTTGTTGGATGCTCTTTGTTTCGACAAATGTTGTGTCTTTGTTTTTGTAAGGCAAACTATACTTGTTGTCGCGAGTTCCCTGGGTTTTTTGGTGCATGTCGTGTGTGTGTGTGTGTG